AGATGTGCGCCAATCATCTTCATCAAACTAAGGAAAATTCAATTTCTGCCAAGTGCCTTCGGGAATATGGAACACGTAATTACATGTAACCAGCGTATGCAGATGCGATATACTGAAGAAATCTTTATGCTTTGATGTTATTTTGAGATTTTCGTAGGTTAATTAGTGCTCTCTCTCTCTCTTTTTTTTTCTTTTTTTTTTACTTTCTCTTCCATTTCAAATATCTATGTAAAGTAGACACTAAGTGCTTTTTTCTTTGATAAAGTTTCCTCTGATATTACAGGACTTAAAAAAAGGCTTTATGAAATAAAAGTGTTCTTAAATTTTGAAGAGAATGTGTATATAATGTACGAGTACCTTTCGCTAAGAATTGAATTAAAATCATACCACTTGATCAAAAATTAAGAATGTTTCATGATTTTCAGAAGCATTCAATTACATAATTGGCATATTTTGGATCCCAGGTTACGTTCTTAACTAAATGTTACCAAAACATTAAACTAAAGGCCAAGTTGAAGACTTGAGAAAAACGCAACTCATAATGCCTTTATGCAATACTAAAAAAGAGTATGATTTCCAAATATTCACAGGGCCAAAAAAGGACGAAAATGAATTTAGTCTTTCATAGTGATTTAATTATCACGCACATCTAGTGTTTAAGTACTATTCTCCAGCACTTTTGTATAAAAATGTTTTTTTATGCTGGTCAGCACGCAAGACTGTCCAAATAATATCAGACATATGTTACTTTTGAGAGATTTTGTAATGAAACCTCGCTCGTGATACAAATATGAAAATCTATTATGTTTTACGAGTTATGAAGTGGTAAATCCAATCGATAGATTCCTTACTTATATTCCGCTCAGGAAAGCCAGCTGTCAAAGATAGCGTGTTTCATCAAGTGGATTTGGAATCTGAGATTCCGGTATCATAAAAATTTTGTTTCAACCCACATTTTATCATATTACGATTATGTGGGTATGAATTTTATGAAAGATTCTATATGTTCTACCGGTTTGTGTGAGGAAGTAGAACTTTTTTTTCTTTTGACATTGAACATTTTCTGAAAAATCTTGTTATGGACATTTGCATTCGTTGTATTAATTTGTATCATTATTTCTTCAAAAATAGGAGATAAATCCGCATAAATTTCCCAGTAGAAAGGTTATCTGTAAACCACAGCTGATTATTTTATTTCTATCTGATGAATCAGTTACTATTTAATGACATGTAAAATCTGTGGATATTCTTGGAATTTTATCCAACTTTATTTAAGCTTTTCTCACATATATTTCAAATATGTGAAAACACAATCAAAAATATTTTCACCTAAAACAAAAACCACATCCTAAATCAATATTTATCACCTTAGTACTCTAACTTTGATTTTTCCGCTGGCGATGTAGGTTAAACAATGCATTGCCATTAGATGTTATTACAAAAGAATTCAATACTGCAACTGGAAAAAGCTAACAAAACTAACATCATCAGCGGTTCAGCTTAATTTGTGTTGTGTTCAGGTAAAGCAGATGCATAAAACATAAGAAATATACTTCAAATAAATGTGCATATGCAATTAATTCTTGAAACAAGAAAATACAAAAAGAAACGACAACAAGCAATTGCTATTTTTATTCATATGTCGATTTGAAAATGTTCCAGCGAACTTAGATAGAAGAAACCACATGCAGAGTCTGCCATGTCTCTTTCATATTGGGATGGTTAACTAACTATAGACAACAAAGACTAACAACTAAAAATATGACATCAGCTTGTCCGTCGTCAACATTCTTTACTTTGTAACGATATTGCATTATCACCTGTTTATGTTGTTTATGTCTCTTATACTCTCTGGTACTCAAAAGCATGCTCTGAGTTCGTTAAATGTTTTTGTTTTATTTCAAGGAATATAAGTATGGACCGAGCGTTTTAAATTTTCTGCTGACAAATGCACCTTTTCTTTCATGAAACATACGGAGATAACGAATAGTATTCAAGATCAAAAGTTCACAAAATAGGAGCAGAGGAAACACGGACCTCCAAAACATCAGAGGTGGGTTCAGGTGCCATGGAGGTGTGAAAATCCCCTGCCAACCGGCCACACCTGCCGTGTGCTCCTTGTCATGATCGGAAAAAAGGGGGAAATCCGTCGTTAATTCAGTGTATAAATAATAAACTAAAAATTAGTATGAAAACGCCAGTCAGCATTTGAGTCAATGATAAATTGTATTTGCCAACAAGGTCATTGTATCGACCAAAGAACTTACTTTAAACGAGACTGCTGGTATTATTGTTTCATCAACTTGTTTGTCAATAATTTACCTCGTTTTAAAAATGTTCATACGTAGAGCATCCTCTTGCGTGTCGAAGCAGCTGAGATAAATAAACTCCATATGCAGGTGATGAGGCTATATTGCTGCATAATTAAGGGAAGCTGACGATAGAAAAGTTAAAGTCATCACGTTTCAGATGTCAAAATTTTGAGTTAGATGGAAATTGAGTTTAAAGAATGAAAATCATGAAATTTTTGTGAGCATTATCTTTAATTTTGCTTTTATCTACAATCCTTTTTAGACCTTTTAAAATATTTAAACTCGCAGATTTTTTTTAATAAGTTCTATCGCATATTACTAGCAGTCTAGCACTCAATCAAAAAAGGAGGAAGATTTCCCATTTCCTTTTTCTTAAAAGTTGAAAAGGTATTGGAAAAGAATTCAAACTGGAACTGTTTTTCAATGAAAAAAAAAGAACCATGCAGTACATTAAAAAAAGGAAGCAAGTACATCTACTTTAATTGGTATTTTTTACAATCAAAAAATAATAATCAACTATAATGAATTCAGTTACGCTAGTACTGAAGCAGAATTGTAAATTGAATGAAATACGTAATTAGTTATCATTTAAAATGTATAAATGGCAGATTTGTAAAAAGTTCAGAAATTCAGATTCAAACGAAATTTTATGATAGGAGTAAAAAAAATTGCAAAATGAAGAGCACACACGTAGAATGTGCTATGAACGGAAATGATCAATGAATCATTTCTCTGCGTAGGCATGAAAATTATAAGCATCTTCTGTAAAGATTATCCCATTATTAATATCTATATTGATACCAACAATTAAAAAAAATATTTGAAGAGAAAAGAGGGTTGACACTGACGTTTTACACAGATGAAGTGCGAATTAGTAACTTCTTAGAAGTTAAAGTACATTCATTGATCACCATGCTTCAAGAAGAATGTTTAGGAAGGAATACCTGGCATTACATTTTTTTCGATATTTTTTCTCAAACGTTACACCATTTCTGTGTTAAACTCAACTCTCCAAGCTAACTTTCTTATGAAATGACTTAAACTGATCAAAAGAAACGAAAATGCAAAGTACTTTGGGGAAAACATTTTTTCCATATCATCGTGATTTTATGATTAATGTAATTTACTTTCTGTTCTCATGTCCTTTACTCCACTCCTTATTTGTTTCCTCTATTATTAACGCTAATAGCATACTTCACGCTGCTACCATGACCTTTCTGCACTGTCCCCAGTCCCTCTGGATCAGAGGTTTAATCTAATCACTCGCAAGACGCATTAAACAGGGATACTTTGTTTCATTAGAACCTCCAGGGAAAAAGGATCACCCAAAACTGAGAAAATTTTAGTAATAGACAATTATCATCCCACGTTATATTTTAGTCTGTGTGTCTTGATTAATTACCTTGAATGTAAACTCAGTAATTTAAAAGTGTAAATAACTAAGGATCGAATGAAATGCAATTAAAAGATGGTTTTACTTAATGTTGAAAAAGTCCTTACTCAAAATCAAGAGTAGGAAATAATTATGTCACTTGTTACAAACCAGTTGCCAAATATTTAGAGTATGTTAAAGTGCAAGCTAAATATTTGTCAAGAGAATAATTATTTTGTTTATATAATACAAATGCCAAGAAAATAAGACTAATTTTAACAACTTTATAACTATTATACATGCATGAGTAAAACGTAATTATCGTTTTTTAATGATAATTTGATAGTTTATTCGTATTTTTCACAAAATCAATTGTCTTTGTATGATTTAACAAGGGAAAGCTGAAAGCAATCTTAAACTAATAAGCTAATGAAGCCCCTTCTTTCCATTGTTCGGTGTTTGTTTCTGGGTGTTTTACCTAATTTCAAAAAGAACTGTGTAATGTATTCAAATTCACCTTTTCTTTATTTTCACGTTTACATTTACAATATGTAAAGTAGGTAACACGATCGTAAAGTGGCGCGCTCTGTTTGCGCTTCATACGACAAGGGCTGGGGAGTTTATGAATGTTCAGCAACATATGTATGGAATATTGATCGACACGTCTCCTGATGGTCCATGTTTGAAGGGGTGGTAATTGATTCCCTAGATCTTTTTATTACATCCGTTCTTTGTTTTCCCTCCTGTTATTTACACAGGTATTGCATAACATTATAAAGCGCACGCTATTTACATCGTCTCAAATTGATTAATTTATTGTTTACAGATATTATCTTGATGATAAATATTTCTAAAACTCGATTTTTATACTTGATATGAAAGTGCGACAACATTGAATTTTGCAAAGAGCGATCAAAATAGTAAATTTATCATAAGTATGATATACTGAACAAACAGTGATCAAAACACGACCAAGTTTGTATTGAGATAAACTAATGCGATGTTAATGAATTTCTGGAAAACCTGTTCACTTATTGAGAAGCATTGAAAAGAAATCTTGAATAAGTGTTTGAATTTGTTGTCTCTATGTTGCTTTAACTCTACAATCCCCTGAAATCCTCAACATTTGAGACTTTTAACAATATTATAATCGCATTTACTACATGTTACATTGATGCAAAACATGACCCGTTCTTGATTTTTATGCTCCTGATTACTTGGTTGCCAAACAAAATTTAACTTAAATTTGATTTTAAATTATCTCAAGTGTTACTACATGTATGCCAAAAGACTAACAGTAAATGAAGCAAGCTTACCAATGCTCGTATCAAAACCCCCGAGATATTCCGAGGTCATGAACTGTTGTGTTAAGGCCGTTTTCCCCACCCCCTGTGACCCCATCATGAGGATCCGGTAAGGTTTGTGATGCTCCGTGAGGCTTGTCTGTGATGCCGAGCTCGATGTTTGGGACAAAGCACCATATTCACTTTCCGAAGAAAAAATACTGTTATTACTCCTAGAAATTAAGGAGTCTCCTCGATTGACCAAACCTTTGGCCGTTCTCTCAAAGCTTCTGAGTCTGTACAAATCATGCTCACTGTCTTCGTATAAAATCCCCGCTGATTTGATTGCTAAAAGGTTGGGTTTCTTGTAGCTATTTTTGGAGGGCAGACTGCTGGTTCTAGGACGCATATCATCGAGCTCGAAGTCCTCGGGGGGTCTTACTTTGGGTTTTTTCATTGACGTAGATCGCACGCGCGGTCTTGGTGACACGTGCAGGGCTCTCATTGCGATCTCCGCCATGGCAGGACTGGGAATCTTTTTCTGTCTGTCGTTGTCGGTGATGCTTAATCCGTTCATTGGCATTGATTTTTTAGATCAAAACAAACACATTGGTTCCATCTTGTCGTAAATGCCGCTAAAGTTAATTGCCACACACTCTCCTAAAATTGTGTTTTATTAAAAGTTAGAAACATAAATCATCAAGCCCATGCTAATATGCCATTCTTTTTTGATAAAGCTCATTCATGAAAGCACAACTGCACTGTTATTTAAATTAAGAAATCAGATAAATTAAAGTATAAAGCATGGAAAAATATTTGCCCAAATAATAAACACTATCATAAAAACTCCATGAAATTGCGAGGTTATCATGACAGGCTTAGCTTATATTGCTTTCACGGCCGCGAAGAAACTGTATTGACAGCTGATTGGTCAATTTTCCATTGCAAACTTTTAATATAAAGGGGAGAAAATCAATACAAAAGGTTATAACCTCACGTTCCTTGTGTTTCATTTATAAATACGCAAACTTGTAGAAAGCGGGGTCACACTTAATTAGAGGAGACACCTGACCCGGAATCGATAGAAAACTGAAGCCTTTAATACTATGGAGGTAAGTAATTAGAAAAACACTGACGACATTGACAAGAGAAAACACAGGTACGGGCTTCCCAGGTAAACAAAAGACGAGGAGGCCAATATACTAATTAAATTTAAATGAATTACGCACCAATATGAGTATTGCCTTGTTTTCTTTTAAAATTAAATACGCATTTTCTTAATATTGATTATTAAAGCTTACGTCAACTTGTGTTTTCATAAGTGCGCTTTTTTAAAAGTAATATGAGAGTGTTTTTACTTTCAAATCAACAATATAAGCAATTGTTTACCAACAATGACGAATAGACATTACGGCATTAAAATAATAATTAATAATGAAATGTTTTGGAAAGCGTGCTTAGCAGCTTTTAAAAACAATCTTTCTGTCACAAGCTCCTCCTCAGCAAAACAGATTTCTGGCACTTTAACATACAACCCTACTTTCTTTTCAATGCATTAAACAAAACAAAATTTTTACGGCATGATTATACCCCAACATTTCCCCTTCTCTACCCTTGCTTTTTACGCAGCAAAGAACTAGAAACATGATACATGTATATTCCGAGAAGACCCCCTTAAGGCCGCCAAAGGAAAGTGACTACATTTCTATTTGAAATAGTAGTGATAAAACGAGTTTTCGAGAGGATCGGTACACGTATAGCTATCGAACAAAATTTGAGAATATTAGGTCATAACCATTGAGATATCTCTTCACAATGAAAGGATTTATGGGTTCTTATTCGTACTGGCACATGGATACATATAATATAACCCAAGCATATAGCAATCTTTTCTTCAAAGATAGAAAGTTTGCTAGAAAATTTCAATTGTTTAGATGGAACATATTAAGATAACGAACAGTATTTAAGATCAAAAGTCCATAAAACAATACAAAATAGGAGCAGAGCAAACACGGACCTCCAGAACATCAGAGGTAAGATCAGGTGCCATGGAGGAGTAAGCATCCCCTTCCTACCGGTCACACCCGCCGTGTGCTCCTTGTAATGATAGGGAAATAACTGGGAAATCTGTTGTCAATTCAGTGTATAAATAATGGAATAACTGAATCACAATAAAAAATTTCCATTGATTTTATCAAAAAATAGAGTGCAATAACGCGCATTGAAATGCAGTTGTTCCTGTCTGAATGAAGTATTTTTTACCTTTCCTTTGAAATTTGAAACATAAGGATTATTTCTTCAAATATATACACGAATTAAAATATTAACTTTTTTTAAAATGAAACTCACAATAACATGTATTTTTTATTCATAACATATTTTGCATAATAATGCACAATCAAGTTAATGATGTTGTAATAAAGGTGACAAATAAAATGCTTCAATATCCGTTTTAATTATTTGAAAAAAGAAAAAAAACTACATTTTAAATGACTATCTGATATGTATATCTAAAGGATTATAGTTTTTTAAACTCTAAGACTTGTCTATAAAATTATTAGATAATGTATATGGAGAAAAGCATCAGTATTCAAGAAAAAAAAAATACATTTAACATTTTGGAGCAGAGCATACACGGGCCTCGAAACATGAGTTGGTATCAGTTGTTATGGAGAGAAAAGCACCCCTTTAACTCCATGTCATGATGGGGAAATTACGAAAAAAGCGTTTTAGTGTTTAAATAATTGCATAACAAAAAGTATGAAAACCGTCAGTCAGCATTTGAGTTAATAATATACGAGAGTTGTCCCGTAAAATCGTGGACAAGTTGTCTAGTGTGAAAAATAAACATCACTGCATTCTGAAATTTTCACTATTAATTAGTACATGTTTTAGTAATATACACAGCAAAATTCAGATAAATATATGCATAAATAAACAAATTATGCGATTTTATGCCATGTATTGTATCACCTTACGGCGCATGGATTATAACGTCAAAGTGTCTAAAACAGGGTCACGTTTTATCTTTGCTGAAAATGAAGTTGGATGAGTCCGACTAAAATTTAGGGATTTCATTGATACACATTCTTTAGTCTCCATAAAAAGTCGAAGAACCAAATGGCACCCTCATGCGATCTTCTGAAGATTTATTAGTAAGTTACGGATAATATTCTCACCATCATTCAACTAATAGAAAATCTCATATCGGCGGTCTACTGTGACAGCGTCTTTTGCTATTACATTAGGAGTTTGTCCGTATGTTTTGTACTCCCCAGGGACTCGATCAAAAAAACTTCGCTAAGAAATCTCCTATTTCATTTGCATACTTAAGATATGGTGATATTTTTATGATCTTTTTTCTTCTATGGTCATTTCAAGTCTCTAAAGGTGTCAACATCGAAGGTTACAACATCGAAATAAAACTGAACTGTTCTCCGGTGCGCCGTAACGTCATAAAACGTCGCCATTTTTCGTGTGTTGTGTTTACCACTTTCCTATTTCGAATGCTCGAGAAATGCCAAAAATTAAGCAAATGCCTTAAAATTTTTACAAAGACTACAAAATTGATTGTGGAATTGAATTAGGATAATTTTAATCCAAATCTTATGTATTTAAAACTTTTATTTTGAATTCAAACTTGTGTATTCTTTAATAAAACCTTGGTTTTTTGACCGTGCGCCGTAGGACAATACCTCGTGCACATTCAAGCATAATAAAATGTCTATTTTTGCCTATATTATATCAAAAAAATTATCATGCACTTAAATATGATAAATAAACATTTACTGAAATTTTCAGCTTAATGCGCCTATTACTTTTCGAGAAAAACGCTTTGTCCACGATTTTACGGGACAACCCTCGTATTGCTAGTATATTTGCTGACTAAGTCATTGTATCGACTTTAAATCTTACAAAATGGGGACTTTTAACGAGACAGCTAATATTCTTGTTTTATGAACTTGTTTGTCAATAACTTACCTCGTTTAGAAACGGTTCTTATGTAGAGATTTCTACACCATATACAAATCAAGAACTGATAATATTGCTGCATAATAAATATAAAGGACTTTGATGATTCAAAAGATGAAATCATCATAAAACTTTGCTGATGAGCTACAATTAATGTCTTTTTCTGGTAAATTAGCCAAATATGAAACATAATTATATCAGAATCTGTAGTATATTTGTTTCAGCTCACTGGGATACGTGGTTTATGTAATAAGCATCAATAGCAATATATATTTTAGTGATAAAAACTATTCCATAAATATACTTGAAATTCCAAAAAAATATACGTGGCTTGTCGACATAACTGCTAAACTTAACAAATAGTATGATGGGGTGTTTTTTTTCTACAATAATTGCAATTATTTTCAATAAGGAGAGATAAAGTTTAGTGTCCAGTTGTAAAACAGTTTTGTTGCATGCCTGACTGCAGTACGATTTTATAATTCACTTTAAAATTTAATAATTAAAATGCATTAAAAATCTAACTTGTCTTTATTTCACAAATTATTTCCAATTATTTTACAAAATTTAATTAGATTACAGTAAGAAAAAAAAACACAGTAAGAAAATTTAAAATTTTTTAATTAATAATATGCCATTTTGAATTTATAGTAAATAAAACAATGGTCAATTCCATTCGTACAAAAGTGTTATACTGTATATCCTGGTGAGCTTGAGATTTCATGACACATCTGTTTTTTTACTTGAAAAAGCTTTTAATTATTATTACATAACTTTCGTCTTTGATTATATATTTTAGTATCTTTTCTTATAAAGGAAAATATCATTCATGTCTTTCATACTTATTGTTAGGATTATTTAAACATTTTTCTGTTAGTCATACATAATCCCACCTTTGAACGCTCCAATCTTGTATTGTTTTATATATATTTGTATTTTTTGATTTCATAATAAAATTGGTTGATTGTGTATACTGGTATTTTTTAAAATAAAGAAAACAAAATATATATATGATAAAAGTTTTTTTCCCGGTTTTGTATGCACAAAATTATTTATTTATCAATTAAAAGAAATTCAAATTGATGCTTATTAATCAAGTGAATCTAATTAGTATGAATAGAATTTATTCATCATTGCATTGACCTTGGATGGATCATAATAAATAAGTGAAACACTACTTGCCTTTCCCCCCGGAAAACTGGCCCTAGAGTAGACACCCCCCCCCCCCCGGAAAACTGGCTCTAACACAAGGACTACGGAAACACAAACAGATGCTGTGAATTATAAAACTGAAACGGTATACTACAAACAAACCTTAAAAATTATAATTTAAGTCCTTTTTAAACAGGTAAAATGAAAAAAATATATATGATAAAATATCAAAAAAATTGTTTTTGGTTACCGGTTGTGCATGCACAAACATTCAAAAATATACTCTCATTTTTTATGTCATTATGCGATTAATTTCTTTTGAAATCAATATTTGACACCTTTAAACGGAAAAAAGTAATTGTTTGCACATGGATAATTCTGCATTAACTTTTTGCACAAAATCATTTTTACAGGTGTAGTTCAGACATGGTTTTACAATTTTGAATTCCAGACTTTTTGACATCATAGACAGCTGCTTTGCCAAAATGAAAGGAAAAGCTCACTAATATTTTTATACATTGTCATTATTCATTCAATGAAACAAGAATATCAGCAGTCTCTTTAAAATCATTTTTTATGGACAATAAAATGACCTTTAAAGCAAATATACTTTATCAAAAATTCAAATGCTGACTGCTCATACAATTTATTAGGCCACTATTTACAAATTAATATAATGACGGATTTTTCCGTTTTATT